TCATAATCTTTCGAATACTGATTTTTCCCATTTCTTGAGCATCATCGACAGTTATGTCTCCCAAACGTCAATTGATTGGTCAATCTACATCTCAAGCACAAAAGAAAAAGGCATTACAAGCTTCAGAAACAGACGAGGAACGGAAAGAAAGATTAGAAGCCGATCGAGTCGCACTGCTCAAGCCCATTCTTCTCAAACGAACGAGCAACGAGAATCAAGATTGGAAGCTGATTGAGTATGCACTGCTCAAGCCCGCTTGAATGAAACAATTGACCAACGGGGAGTAAGACTGGGAACCAATTGAGAATGCACAGCTCAAGCCCGCTCGAATAAAACAATTGATCAACGGGGAGTAAGACTGGGAACCAATTGAGAACGCAATGTTTGATCCAGATGGACACTGCACGCTGATTTGAATCTTGCTGCATTCCATTATGATGCTGATTATGATTACAGTCTTCATCGAAGTGTCATTATTGAAAAAATGGACAAGTTATGCAAATTTTGCCATGCATTGAAATTCAAGAATACCAGGAATAAGCTGCGCAGGTGGAAAAGTGAAATTGCCAGAATTGCATTTACCACTCGAACCATTATCAATGTTGGTATCAGGTGACACAAGCCAGTTGAAACATTTCTTGGCAAACATACGCAAGTACAATTCATGTTTCCAAATGACATCGTTCAGTGCAACAGAAATCATATGTGACAATTATATGCCAATGTTCAAAGTGAAAGGGCAAATTTATCATCGTACTGGATCACTTCCACCACTGCCGGATTCAAATCACAAATTTCTCCAAATTTATTTCATGGGAGCCAGTGATGAACAAGTTGATCAACTTTGTCGATTCAATACCAGCACTAATTGAGAAATTGTTGCTGCATTACAAAATTTATTCGATCAATATAATGAATTAGTTCGACTGTTCAGGATGGCACTCGAGCGAATGTCTTTATTATTATGATTATGTACTTGTCATTAGAGCTGACAAAACACCAGCTGGCCAACATGAAAGACAATACAACACACCAACAATTAATGAAGTGGTGATCATCATAGTTGGCGAAGAATTTAACTTGCATGATATAGTTCTTCATCACAGAGATGGTAATGTTCAGCGAGTCTCCGAAACTCATCGCTCATACGATACATTGCAATATCCAATTTTATTCTGGCAAGGAGAAGATGGATATCATTTCAACATCAAAATGAGAAATCCACAAACAGATGAGGACACCAATAAGAAAGTGAGTGCCATGAATTACTATTCATATCAATTGATGATTCGTAAGAACACAGACAACCACATTTTGAAATGTCAGAAATTATTCCATCAATACATTGTCGATATGTATGCAAAAATTGAGACCAAACGACTTCTTTTCATTCAATTGAATCAAACCAAGCTGCGCTCTGAAGAATATATTCATTTACGTGATGTAATTGCTACTGATGGCAATCCCAATGAACTGGGAAAAATGTCATATTGCCGGCTACATTCACAGAAAGCCCACGGCACATGCATGAATATGCACAAGATGCAATGACTTATGTTCACGCATATGGCCATCCGGATTTATTCATAACATTTACATGCAATCCTACATGGGAAGAAATTAAAGATCTTCTGTTGCCTGGACAATCGTCTTCAGATCGCCATGACATCATTGCATGTGTGTTCAAGCAAAAATTGAAATCTATGATGGATTTCATTGTCAAACATGTTTTTGGGGAGACACGCTGTTGGATGTATTCCATTGAATGGCAGAAAAGAGGATTACCGCATGCACACATTTTGATTTGGTTGATTGACAAAATTACACCAGACAAAATTGATGAAGTCATCTCAGCAGAAATACCAGATGTCGACATTGATCCAGGCTTATTCGAAGTCATTACCAACAACATGATTCATGGTCCATGCGATGCGATCAACAATAATTCTCCGTGCATGAAGGATGAAAAATGCACAAGACGCTATCCACAACACTTACACGCCAAAACTATCACTGGAAATGATGGATATCCACAATATTGTCGACGATCAACTGAAGATGGTGGCAAATTCATCACTCTAAAAGTATGCAACAATGACATTGAAGTCGATAATCGTTGGGTTGTGCCATATTCACCATTACTCTCAAAGACATTCAAAGTACACATCAATGTCGAGTATTATAATTCAGTGAAATCGATCAAATACATTTGCAAATACTGTATGTCAACAAAGGAAGAGATATGGCAGTTTTTGGAGTGGGAAATGCATCTGCACCAATCAATGAAATCGATCGATATGAATTGAGATGCTACATTAGTACCAATGAAGCAGTTTGGCATATTTTCTCATTTCCAATTCATGAACGTCATCCAACAGTTGTTCATTTGGCAGTATATCTTGAAAATGGACAGTGCATGTATTTAAAAACAGAAAATGTACATGCAAGAGCATTATCGCCACCAAAAACAATGTTAACTGCATTCTTCTCATTGTTCAAAGATGATTTGTTCGCAAAAACGCTACTTTACTCAGAAGTGCCAAAATACTACACATGGAATGCATCAGCGAAAAAGTTTCAACGTCGTAAACAGGGGAAACCAGTTGAAGGATATCCGAATTTATAATCATCCTACGTGTTAGGCCGTCTGTATACAGTTCATCCAAACAATCAAGAATGTTTTAACTTGCAATTACTGTTACTTAATATATGTGGACCGAAATCCTTCCAAGAACTGAGAAGAGTAAATGGTGAAGTATGTGCGACCTATCGAGAAACTTGCCAAGAATTAAATCTTCTTGAAAACGATGCACAATGGGACACAACACTCTCTGATGCATCGAATACTGCTCAACCACAGCAAATACACACGTTATTTGCGATAATATTGACAACGTGTTTCCCTCCAATCCGAAAGATCTTTGGGAAAAATACAAAGATTACATGAGTGAAGACATCCTACGTTGTTTGCAAGCAACAAATCAGAATCCGGACATGCAATTCACACCACATGTGTATAATGAGGTGTTAGTTTTGATTGAGGATATACATTTGACAATCACTAACAAAGGATTGGGGCAGTTGGGAATGTGTGCACCGAATCGATCTGCAAATGATGCATATGATCGTGATTTGCAATGTAAAACACATTTCAATGTCGATGATTTGGGTACATTTCATGATTACGAATCTTCAAAAATTGGTTTCAGAACAACGCATTGTATATGACACAATAATGCAAGCAATTACAAATCAAAGGGGCGGATTGTATTTCATAGATGCGCCCGGAGGTACAGGCAAATTTTTCTCATTTCACTAATTTTGGCAACCGTTTGATCATGGAATAAAATTGCACTGGCAATTGCATCATCTGAAATTGCCATTGAATTTGCAAACCACTGAGACGCCAACATGCAATATCACCAAAAATTCTGGAATGGGCAAAGTTCTCCAAACATGTAAACTTATCATATGGGACGAATGCACAATGGCTCACAAAAAAGCATTGGAAGCACTTGATCATACACTGAAAGATTTGAGGGGAAATGGACAGCCCTTCGGTGGAGCACTCATTTTATTGTCTGGTGATTTTCGACAAACTCTGCCAGTTATACCATGTTCAACACCCGCTGATGAACTTAATGCATGCCTGAAATCATCAGTTCTATGGTGACATGTAAAGAAATTGACTTTGAAAACCAATATGCATGTTGAATTACAAAATGATGTATCCACCGAACATTTCACAAAACAATTGCTGGATATTGGGAATGGGAAGATGGCAATAGACAAATCTACACAATGTATCACATTGCCAACAAATTTTTGTAAGAAGACATCAACCAAAGGTGAATTGATTCAAAATGTTTTCCCAAATATCGCGCGGAATTACAAAATCATCAGTGGCTCAGTCCACATGCTATATTAGCAGCTAAGAACAAAGATGTCAATGACATCAATTTCAGCATTCAAAAAACAGAATACCAGGCGAAGCGACAATGTGTAAGGCCATTGATACTGTTATGAATCAAGACGAAGTTGTCAATTACCCAACGAAATTCTTGAATTCACTAGATTTGCCAGGAATGCTACCACACATTTTAACATTGAAAACTGGCGTGCCTATCATTCTTCTCCGTAACATCAATCCACCACAACTTTGCAATGGTACAAGACTTTCGATGAAAAAGATGATGAACAATGTCATCGAAGCTACAGTTTTGAATGGGAAATTCAAGGTGGAAGATGTACTGTTGCCACATGTTCCAATGATCCCAACAGATATGCCATTCAAATTCAAATGTTTGCAGTTTCTGGTGCGAATCACTTTTGCAATGACCATCAACAAAGCACAAGGACAATCGCTGCAAGTGTGTGGGCTGGATTTGGAGAATCTGTGCTTTTCACATGGACAACTGTATGTGGCTAGCTCAAGCGTCGGAAAAATTTCTGATTTATTTGTATACGCACCAGATGGAAATAATGTAATAATAATAAGTTTCAATAAAAATGATAAAATGTAAATTGAATTTTATCATAACGAGTTTGCNCAAACCATAATTTTAACATTGTTTCCATCTCAGGAATAATACCGCGACGTTTACGAATGATGTTTGAATGTAAAGACTGAGCATTTTTTACAGCTTCAAGAATTTTTTCTTTGCCTTTTATAATTGTTCTGACCGTCGATTCCGGTAGATCAAACTTTTTTCGCTAATTCACAAATTTTCATTTTTGTATTGAAGTCTATAATAATGTTAACTTTACATTCCAAAGATAAAGTTTTTCTTTTCTTGTTTGATGCAGAATAATCAGTTCTATTTCATTTAGATGACATAGTAGAGTCTGTCGAGTCTCCGTAGATATAACAAACACAGAAATAAATAACACAAAATAAATTGTAGCTATGTGTCGATTCCATGCAACACGTCTGAACATGTAAATCGAACAATAGTGTGGGGGGAGTGAGTAATCAAAAGTTGCATGGTGCTCAAACAAAAGATGAATCGACGAGATTTGAAAATCGCGTAACTCTGGGTTCACGTAAGTTGGGGTAGCGTAAGTCAAGTTATTACTGTATATAACAGAGGGAGGAGAGTAAAAACCAATCAAGCCCTAGAATTGACTAACTATAAAGAAGGAAAGAAAAGAGAGAGAGAAAGAGAGAATGAAATGTAAAACCAGTTTTCATGTGGCTATATTTTTAAATATCAATTCTTAGTAATCTATACCAGAGTAACCAAAAGTTTTTACATTAAAATGTTTGTTAACCTTTTTGAAAATAAACTGTTCTAGATGGAATATGAGATTACTTATTCTTATTCCTAATTATTAATCTATCAGTGGCAATTATATTTAGAACATCATTTATATGATTGTTGATAGCTGATTGATTAAAAATTTTTAATGTTTTACTTACTAGTTTCAGAAGATCAATTAACTTATAAGGATCTTCTCCAGTACTTAAATCAACAATATCTTGAGGAACACCATAATGAAGATAAGGACTTGGCTGTACACCTCGATTAAAAGTATTGCATCTGAATTCTGGAATCTATTAAAAACAGAAAAAAAATTTTATATTTAATTACTTAATTTCAGTACATTTATTCTTTTTATACATAAAACCATAATTATACATGAACAACTATATCAAACTTGTTAAAAATAATCAGAATAAAAAAGATAAAATTTATGCCAATAGATATTTATATTGATGTACTTCGTATATCATAATAGTATTGAAATATATTCTTTTGTATTCTTTCAATTAATTAATTTCATATTTAACTCACTGAAATATACATGTCTACTTTTTTTTAATAATGATAACCGTTTATATCTTTCAGCAAAAAATAATAATGAACAATTTAGTTCTCAGCATATATAGTACCTCTAAAGTGATACAAAAACAATAATAATAGAATATCATTGTTTTTATACATTCATCTCACATGTGAAAAATTGACTTCTGTTTACTGATAACATTAAATGTAGTGCATGCCATTTTATATACTCAATAGATTATTGAACAATAATAATCTAGTAAAGAGATTTTGTTTTAAAATTATTTTAAGAAGTAATCATTAAATTTACTGTAGTTATATCCGAATACTAAAAATAGATTGATGAAAATAAATAAAATTAAAAAGCAAGAATCTTTCTACAGACAGTTACGAGGATGTGAAACTTATGAAATGAGTAAGTTAAAAAATAAGCTAGTTTTGACCAAATTTTTAAAAATAACTCAAAAATCCTCAGAAATAAAAAATGTTAGGTGCAAAATATGAAAAAAATCCAGCAACAAGTTGCTTAATTTCCCCAGAAACATTTAAAATTTTGGTGATGCTACCTGTTATGTTATTTTATTTAAAAACTTCTATATTTTTAATTATTATAAAATGGCAAACAGTTTAATTTTGAGGGTAGAGATGAGTTTTATAAAAAATATTGTAAATGCTAATAATGACTAAAATTGTTAAGTTGAGATATGACATATGAACCCCTTTATCTCCCCACCCCATTGACTTTTAACCACCAAAATTTAATAGAATCAATCTCCTGATACACAAACCTCCTGCAAAATTTCAGAAATTTTTGACAAAAAGTACAGCAGTTATTAGGCTTCAAACAGAGTGAACAAAATTGTGCTTTCATACACACACACAAACATCCATACATATAGAAAAATCCGCCCAAATGTTTTTTTTTTTTTTTTGCATTTCTCAACATTTTGAGATAAAGTCTAAAAATGTAAAAATCTTGGGACATCGTTTTTTGATTAATTGCAATACTTTCCCTCTTTTATACAGTAATACCCCGAACTTACGCGATAGGTGGGATCGAGTGATAACCGTGTAAGTCGAATTCGCGTAAGTCGGAGTATAATTTCCCATATAAATACATACAAATAATTTTTTATTGGGGCTAGAGACTAAAGAAAACAATAATTTAGAAAACAATTTTTAATAAAATCTTAGATAATACATATGTATAACAAATTATATTATTATACAATTTTTCACATTTACTTGATTATCAAACCATAATTTTAACATTGTTTCCATCTCAGGAATAATACCGCGACGTTTACGAATGATGTTTGAATGTAAAGACTGAGCATTTTTTACAGCTTCAAGAATTTTTTCTTTGCCTTTTATAATTGTTCTGACCGTCGATTCCGGTAGATCAAACTTTTTTCGCTAATTCACAAATTTTCATTTTTGTATTGAAGTCTATAATAATGTTAACTTTACATTCCAAAGATAAAGTTTTTCTTTTCTTGTTTGATGCAGAATAATCAGTTCTATTTCATTTAGATGACATAGTAGAGTCTGTCGAGTCTCCGTAGATATAACAAACACAGAAATAAATAACACAAAATAAATTGTAGCTATGTGTCGATTCCATGCAACACGTCTGAACATGTAAATCGAACAATAGTGTGGGGGGAGTGAGTAATCAAAAGTTGCATGGTGCTCAAACAAAAGATGAATCGACGAGATTTGAAAATCGCGTAACTCTGGGTTCACGTAAGTTGGGGTAGCGTAAGTCAAGTTATTACTGTATATAACAGAGGGAGGAGAGTAAAAACCAATCAAGCCCTAGAATTGACTAACTATAAAGAAGGAAAGAAAAGAGAGAGAGAAAGAGAGAATGAAATGTAAAACCAGTTTTCATGTGGCTATATTTTTAAATATCAATTCTTAGTAATCTATACCAGAGTAACCAAAAGTTTTTACATTAAAATGTTTGTTAACCTTTTTGAAAATAAACTGTTCTAGATGGAATATGAGATTACTTATTCTTATTCCTAATTATTAATCTATCAGTGGCAATTATATTTAGAACATCATTTATATGATTGTTGATAGCTGATTGATTAAAAATTTTTAATGTTTTACTTACTAGTTTCAGAAGATCAATTAACTTATAAGGATCTTCTCCAGTACTTAAATCAACAATATCTTGAGGAACACCATAATGAAGATAAGGACTTGGCTGTACACCTCGATTAAAAGTATTGCATCTGAATTCTGGAATCTATTAAAAACAGAAAAAAATTTTATATTTAATTACTTAATTTCAGTACATTTATTCTTTTTATACATAAAACCATAATTATACATGAACAACTATATCAAACTTGTTAAAAATAATCAGAATAAAAAAGATAAAATTTATGCCAATAGATATTTATATTGAAAAATGTAATTATAATGTTATATATACAAATCTTATTACAAACGTGAATCTAAAAAATTCCATGTACACTTTCAAAAGCAATTCTAAACATTTACAGATATATTAAATTTGTTGTAAAATTTCAAAGTTTTGTTTTATTTTTTATTACAACAACAATGATTTTGAAAAAGCTATTATTTATAGAAAAATAAAAAATATTTTAATATACTAATTTTAAAAAATTACATCATATAAAATTTAGATAATGCAACATTATACAATTCAGACTTTTACATGAAAGAAGATGAGACTTCATTTGTAAATGGATTATTTTGCTTCTAATACAGAAAAGCAATCATTTTTGCAACCATAATTGTCAAGAAGACTGAGACTTTCATAATACATCTGGATTTACATTTTTCAATACAATGGAACTTCTGCCTTGAAGTGAATGTGGGTAAAAGAAAAATTCCAAGTTAAAAAGTTTAAAATTATTGAGGTTTGCCTCAAAATTACAAATTTCTGCCATTGGTTCATCACTAGTTACTAAAGACTTATATAATCCATATTTCCATACAGATAGTACTCTATTGTTTATATTTACTAACTTACATTACTAACCTGACTTAACTTAATAACTTAAAAATACTGATCCATTGTCTATATTTTTTAAATCTGCAATTATGTCTTTATCCAAGAGTTGTAATATATTTGATGTGTTTACTGGGAGAAAGAGCTATTAATGTTTGGCAAATTCAAGCATTGATGTTATGAGAAGAAACACCAAACATAAGCGAAATGTTCCTATTTTGAACTGCTAGTTTATGTTGTAGCATCCCAACCCATTAATGAAATATTTTTTCAGTCACTCATGCATTTACATTTGCTTCATACTTGAAAGGCAATTAATAAAAGCATCAAATTGTAACCTTTCATCCAGCGGAGACAACTTTTAGCTTCTGTTTCTATTGCAGTAAAATAATACAGTTACAGTTTTTTTTTTTTTTTTTTCCGCAAAGATTCGTCACCAGGGGAAGCCATAGTAATCTACATATACCAGCGCATTTCTTCAGTAGATATAAAGGCCAAAAATCCCCAATGGAAAGGATGAAAAACATGAAGATGGCTGTAAGACCCATGAACTCTAAGTTGAAATTTATAATTTTAATTAGATATTTTTCTGTGTTTTTAAAGGAATGTTTGTAAACTTGACGACCAAGTAGCCTAAAAAAGAAGGTCAGGTCGTCAAAAAGTTCTTGTTCTGGAACACGTGAAATGAATAAATGGTGTCTACCAAAAAAGGTTTTATATTTTTATTTTTTGGTCAGTCTGTGTCTTCAATTAACTTTTACACAGTTACAGTTGCTTAATTTGTTTCCCCATCATGGTATGACTCTCCTCATGTTGAAAATGTTTTAGTTGGAGCTGCATTTCTGAACAGTCTCATCTGCATTAAAATTATTATTCAAAGCATAGACTTCAAGGGTTATTTTTACTTTTAGTATCTTGTTTTTCATTCATGAATCTAAATTTGCACAATAATAAAATAATGTTTATTCTTAAGACTTACTTCTAACCCAAAACCATAAACGGTGCAAAACTTGACTGTACGTCCTTCACTAACATTTTTGAACCAATGGTTCTTTTTCAGGTGAAAAAAAACAGACAAAATAGGTTGGTTCAAAAACATTAGTGAAAGACATACAGTCAAGTTATGCACCATTTCTGATTTTGAATTAGAAGTAAGTCTTATATTTTGCGGTGTGCTTTTGATGTGTATTGTTTAATGTGTTTATTCTTTTACAAATTATAAAAACTTCGTGAATATCTTTGCTATCTTTCCATCTTTTATTTCAGCAACAGTCCAAAACAGAATTCTTATAATATTTATTTCATTTAATGTATTTTATTGTGAATTTGGATAATTTACTTGATGTTGCAAGACTATAGCCTCAAAAGAAAGGTTGTCTCCACATGACTATCTTTGAGAGACACAGCATTCACAGTTATGCATGTGACGATAAATACCTTTAAAGACCAGCAATCACTCATTGGCTTGAGCGTCCTGGAGAGGGAAGAAGAGTCCCTCACTGTTACTGAAGAGTCTTGAGCCTAGGTAATAATCCATGATATTAATATCCAGAATTGATGATAACTAGTTCAAGTCAATTGTTCTTTGTTCCAGAGTGGCTAAGGTATGGTGGACATGGCAGAAACCTGAGAAGATTGGCAATGGCAAAGTATTGTGGTGAATGAATTCTCTCTCTCACTCTGCTGTGTCCTTCTCTCACATTTCCTTTTATTTGTAGATTTGTCCTCTACATTCCAATGCCCAAATTTGGTAAACTTGTGCAAGGAGCTGGCTCCTAATCCAATCTCTTCTTTTTGGAAAAGTTCCTTTGATGAGTAAGATTTTCCAGAAGATGCATCACTTACATTGATGCATTGAAAGTTCCAAACATTCAGATTTTGGAATTCGATGATACTCTAACCTGATGCAGACTTTGAATAAGGTCGAAAGTGTTTAATAAATCGTCCAACAAACATTTTTGTTACTGGACATAAAGGTTCTTCAAGGGTTGTCATTAGCACCAATAATTAAGTTGAAAGATATCTTAATACAAAGGAAATGTTATCAAAGAGAAAATCTTATGAACTTTCTCCTTGATATTTGTCATCTTAGGTTTAAATAAAAATTTTTCATTTTAAACAAATATTAAATTACCTAAACTACAAAAATGCTAGCCTGGGTTCTCACAATTTTATCATCAGCAGCAGATTCATATCATAAAGAAACACAAATACAAAATTGTAACTTATAATCTTGGTCATTGTATAATCTTTCATTCTTGAAAGTTTGATTCTTTCTAGTAATTATTCATAAGCTTTAAGCTACATTTTTTATATTAGCACCAGGTTTTTTCAAATACATGAATCTAATCATTTCTAATTTATATCAATTCATTATTTAATCAGTACAAATCTTATTTGCTTTAATAAAGTAGTTAATGGGTTGTTCAAAAAGTAGTTTCATTTTTTACCACCAGTGGAATTAGTTGTATTTTTATCTACCAACTTCATTTTAAACCATATTGACATTATATATTTTGACAGCTGACATTTCAAGGCTTACTTGTAAAAAATTTTGTTTGATTATCTGCAATTGATTTTTTTGGCATCCCATCAAATATGGAAAATTGAAAGCAGCATTTTTGGCATATTTTGCTTTTTTTATTACCAAAAAGATAAAAATGCTGTTCAAGCAATAAAAAAATTGTGTCTACAAGCCCAGTTGAAGCTGATGAAGACAAAATAAAAGTATTGATTAAAGCAAACTGCCGATTAACAACACAAGAAATCACCATAATATTAAATTTGTCAAATTCAATCGTTTATGATCACTTGAAATGATTTGGTTTCGTTTCAAAGCTCGATACATGGGTTTCACATGTTCTTGAAGAAAGAGAGATGCTCTATCGCATTGACATCTGTGATTTTTTTCTAAAACATCAAGAAAATGATCCATTTTTGAAGTGAATCATAATTGATGATGAAAAATGGATTGTTTATAACAATATCAAATGCAAGTGATCACTCAGTAGAAGAGATGAGCCGGCTCAAAGCACTTCAAAAGCAGATACTCATAAAAAAAAAAGGCAAATCTCTCTGTTTGGTGGGATTTTAAGGGAACCTACCAGACAATTCCAAAATTGATTTGAAAGTGTATTGCCATCAACTGGACAAATTGAGTAATACCATCAAACAAAAAAGGTGTAGTGTTTCACCATGATAATGCAGACCTCACATAAGTTTGGTAACTCTTCAGAAACTGTTAGCACATCCTATCCAAGCTTGGATAGGATGTGCTACCACATCCACCATATTTGCCAGATCTGACACTCTTGGATTATTACTTGTTCTGGTCTTTACAAAATTTTTTAAATGGTAAACATTTACTTCAAACGAGGATGTCAAAAATCACTTGGATCAGTTTTTTGTAAGCAAAGATCAAAACTTTTATGAACATGAAATGTTACTATCAGAAAGATGGCAACATGTATTGGACCAAAATAGTCAATATATAATTCAATAAAATATTTATATATTATAAGAGAATTGTTTTTCCTCCCCTACAAAAAAAAAAACGAAATTACTTTCCAAACAATCCAATATAATTTAACAATTTTCTTTGTTTACAGCAACTTACCTCTTGATCACAATCTAAATTTTGAAGTTCATTCCAATCAAACAGTAGAGAATCTGTTAGTTTTCCAAAAGGATTAAAATCTACTAGTTGAACTAAATTCTAAGAAAAAAAGAAAAAAGTCAGAAACTCAGAAAAAATGAAAATTTAAATTATAGTGTTAAAAATTAATATTATGAAATTTATTTGATTATGAAAAACTAGTAGTCTGGACCAACCCCTAGTGGGCGTTCTAGTCATTCTGTGGTATAAATAATAAATTCATATCAATAGGGAATGTTTTCCACCTTCCTGTGAGGGAATTCCCCTTTCTGCTCCCATGGAGAGGGAAATTTATTCCCCTCCATGGGGAAGGGTAATCCTTAACTCTCTCCCCCATGGGAAAGGCATTCTAGCAGCAGCAGTGTCATTCCATAGTATAAATAATAAATTCATATCAATAATAAATTTTTATTACAAATAATAATAATTTATTGCTTATTTAAAATCATTGCTAGAGTGCCCTAGTGGGCATTTTAGCCATACCATTACAGATATACTGACACGCAATCAATGGCTTATATTATTAGATAATCAGAGAGCTTTGTAAAAATTCATATAATAAATAATTACAATTCTAAACAAATTAGTAGAAGAAATAGATTCAAAATTTATATTGTGAGGTTTGGCTTTGGAATACCTCTCGTCTCACTGGGGATGGCCATTATTAATCATTGAAAGATGAAATACATGTAAACCTCAGCTTTCTCAGACTATTGTCAAGATCTCCTGACACCAGTTAGGATAAACTATCTTGTGTCCTAACTCACGATTAGACTTTTCCAAATAGAAAAATATATATTAAAATTTACCGGAATTTTAAAAGGGTCTAATTTGAAACATGGGCCGACGATGGAGTTAGCCATAAACAAATCAAATGAGATAAAAATTAAAAGATATATTTATCAAGAAAGATTTGACAATATTTATATACAGAAAGGTTACATTCAAATTAATATTGTGAGATTAGCAGGGGGCCACTGGGCTCATCCCAAATGACCACTTACTCTGCAGCAGGTTGGTAAAACCCATTCTCGGCTTGTCGGATGGCTAGGAGGGCAAAAAATTGAGTGGGGAGTGCGTCAGTAAGTCGGCAGATGTCCTTCAGAGACAGGAGACAAGTTTAAAAACTAAACAAGCATTTATTTATATAACTAAGCTAGGATACATAGGTTAAATGCGATTAAATAAGTTCACTATATAAAGGGACGCTCTAATAGCTTTCCCGGCTAGTCTGAGAGTGTGTTCACAAAGCTCTAAAAAGTACAAATACCTCTATGCAGATATGTCTAATATGCGTTCGTTGAATATGTTCGTTAATGGCGATGGAAGTTCAAATGGCTGTGGTTGGTCGTATGCCCTTTCGGTCCGGAGTATGGAGACAAATATGGCACATCTACCAAGTATAACTTCCGAGGGATCACTCGGAGCTTCTGGGGACTCGAGCTTTTATACGTTATTCGTGGGAAATGAGTCACGTGATCGACTTCTGTTGCCACTTACGGTGCATTCCGATCAACTAACTGTCAACTTTCCCACCATAATGTGAAAACAATCTGTGACCTCCGATATACTTCTCACCAAGAGTGTTTTTTTTTCATCGGAGTTGTTTACAAAGATTTTTCCGACATCGGCGTAAAAATCGCGGAATCGCGGATTTCACAATATACAATGAACATACTAAGGAAACAAACTTCTAAAAAGAAATGATCCTTAAAGGAATAAGATTAAATAAGAACACATGTAATTTTTCTCTTAGTATTTTAACAAAAATTCACAGCAAAACTAATTACAAGGGCAAGATGAAAAGTTCTCGGCCTAACCCATAGATGGCACTACTACAAATGAAAGTATCATCTGGTTATGTTTCCAAACTTGTTACAAAAGTAAATACCAAGTGTGAATTTGATCAGACAAATAGTTGTTTTTATACGGCTGTTTAAAGTAAGCATTGTGTGTGTTTTTGATAAAATGAATAAACTTGAATATCATTCCATCATAAAATTCTTCGTTTTGGATGGTTTATCACCAACAGAAATTTATTCAAAGTTAGTAAAAGTGTATAAGGAGTCTGCACCTTCGTTATCAACAGTAAAAAAATGGGCACCAGAGTTTAAATGTAGTCGTACATCGATTGAAGATGATCCACGTGAAGGACGGCCAAAAACTGCAACTACCGAAGAAAATATCAAGAGGATACACAATATGGTTCTAGATGATCGATGATTAAAGGTGTATGAGATAGCTAAGGCTGTAGGCATCTCAGAAGAAAGGGTAAGGCACATTTTACATGAAGAACTCAGTATGAGAAAGCTTTGCGCAAGATGGGTGCCGCATTTGTTAAATGCTGATCATAAACAAATGAGAAATCAACTTTCTCATCAATGTTTGCGCCATTTTAAGAAGGATCCAACTGATTTTCTGCGCCGATTCATTACGATGGATGAAACATGGGTTCACCACTTCACCCCGAGTTAAAACAACAGTCCAAGCAGTGGGTAGAAGCTGGTGGCTCTGCACCGAAGAAAGCAAAGACAATTGCATCGGCTAGAAAGGTTATGGCTAGTGTTTTTTGGGATTTCAAAGGAATTCTTTTAATTGACTACCTGTCAAAGGGTCAAACAATTAATGGGGAATACTATGCACATCTTGACCAGCTAGATGAAAAAATTAGAGAGAAAAGGCCTGGTTTGCAATTAGAAAAAAGTCCTTTTTCACCAGGACAATGCACCCGCTCACAAAAGGTGCTTTGGCAATGGGAAAATTGAGGGATTTGAAGTATGAATTATTGGAACATCCTCCCTATTCACCAGATTTGGCTCCCTCTGACTTTCATTTATTACCAAATCTTAAAAAATTTTTGGCGGGAGAACATTTTGGATCAAGTGAAGAGGTGATAGCAGTGGTAAATGGATATTTAGAAGACCTTCCAGAATCGCATTTCAGGGATGGAATACTGTTATTGGAGAAACGTTGGACAAAGTGTATTGAACTAAAGAGAGACTACATTGAGAAATAAATGCACTTTTAAAATAAAAAACTTATTTTTTCACTACTAGGCCGAGAACTTTTCACCTTGCCCTCCTATGGTAGAAACAGCTCCTGCAATAGGATTACAATCCCTATGTTTTACATTATTTATATTTAGGAAACTAATGTTATTTATATTCAATAAAAATTGTACCATAAAATTAAGATTTGTATTTTATTTGTAAAACTTTATCTCAGGAAACAAATTTCTTTTTGAGTGATTGACTACAACTTTTCTATTTTGTTGCACATATTTACAATGTAAAATATGAATGTTACAATATACAGTACTGGACAAAAGTGTAAGGTTGTTACAAAAAGTGTGATAACTTGTTATAATCACTATGTATAAATAAGACAAAATGACATGAGAATCAGTAGCATAGGAAAACATTTGCATAAAAGGGTTTGTAAACAAAATCAAATAGATGTGTTTCATGGTCTGTTAAATATGAAACAAGAAAGCAGTCAGGAAAATCACCAGCATTAACCAACTACCAGAAAAACCAAGCAACATCTCTTGCATGTTATGACAAGTGATTTTCTTTGGAAATAGTAGCACATCTGGATCTTCCATGTACTGTACCTCCAGAACAGTCTGAAGAGTCTTAGCTGCCAACAAAATGTTACATTTCACAAAATTGAAAAGCTATCCTCCTTTAATTGCAGTCCAGAAAAAATCCACACACGTCATTTACTTTTAAGCTCTAAATCTTTGGTGAGAAATGGAATGTTGTCTTCTCAGACAAGAAGTTTAAATTCTTGGGCCAGATGACTTCTGACATTACTGGTATCATATCTGTGACAACAAGTAGTATTTCTCAAGTGTTAGTTCAGAAGTAGGTTGTGATGATCTAGAGGCATTTTATGTCCATGGTGCTCTATCAAGTTTAATCATTTCTGTACAAATGACTTCATTATATCAGGATATGTTTGTGGAACATTTGCTACCACAAGCACCCTATGTCTGGAAAATGGATTTTTCAACAGGATAATGCTTCATACTATTGATCCATAAGCACCAATGAGCGATTTTCAGCAAAAAATGTTACTGTTCTGAACTGCCTGGACCTAAATACTAGAAAATCTGTGGGATTGTTGTTATGATCATTTATGATAATGGACATTACCAATTTGACACAAAGGAAGAAATAACAAATGCTATACAAACTTCAGGGATAACCCATAGGAGAACATGGATAAAAGTTTGTTAAAAAACCTTACAGCATCCATAATGAACAGATTGCTGCAAGTGCTGCTAAAGAAAGGTGCAGTAATTAATTTCTAATGTCTCAATCAATACTTTGCAATGTAATTGGATAGATTTTTGTTTTGACCTTATAATTTTGTTGAAGATGCTGTGCTGACTTGAATAAAAGATTGCAACACAAATCTTATGCTGATTTTTTTACAATCCCTATTATACATATATTTTCCAGTGCCATTGATTCTGATATTTACAATTTTTTATTCTTACTTTACTATTTTAATAAACTATCACTATTCTTATGATGTCCTTACACTTTTGTCCAACACTGTATGTTATCACTGTTTCTTTTCATTTTTTATTAATAAGATTGTAATAATTAATAAGATAATAATGTCAAACTAACCTTTCTGTTACGATACACATCAAATACATCTGCAAAATATTTAAAATATCTTAAGTGAAATCGTTTATATTACATTATTTTTATTATAAATTTTGTAATAATTTCATATTTTTATGATTAAAATTTATAGAAATAATATAAATTATGTTTATGTCTAGAATGAAATATAATCAATGAACTTTACTATCAAACTAAGTCTCTAAAATATTTTAAAATTTGCATATTTTTAACACATTTTATTACTTTTAAACATTCAGTATTTCTATTAACTTTTGTACTAAATGCTTAGAGTATTCATATTCTATAAAATTCAATGAGAATTATTTTATATATACAGTGATGCCTCGCGTAAAGTACTTAATCTGTTTCAGGTGCATGTCTGTTAAGTGAAAAGTCTGTTATATGAAATGCATTTTCCCATAGAAATACATGTTAAAACATCTAATTTGTTCCACAGCATAAAATAACCGTACTGTACCATAAAAAAAAAAAAATGAAAATGAAAATATGGAGCAGTCACCAATTATGCTGGATAGTCAGATGAGAGGAGGAGGTGGAGAAACACTTTCTTCACACATTCATACATACACATACTTTTTACACCTTGCAGCAGATCTCTTTTTATTGTTTTTTAATTGGAGTCAGATTCAGGAGAGGCTATCAGGGCTTGCAGGGTCAACTCCTCTTGTTCCATCATTTGTTTTTTGGCAGCTGGCTTCTTGAAAAACATGTTTAAGGTAGTCTGTTTCTCTCTCATCATCAACACCTGTCGGAAATGGCGGTCAAGGGTGTCATTGTAGAGATCATTGATCCTGTTGGCCTCAGCTGTGTTTGGATAGTGAGTGTTGGTAAACTCCTGAACCTCTCCCCATTTGACAAGGAAGTCCTTGATGACAGCAGTTGAAATTGGTTGATTGGATTGTTCCTCCTCCTCATCAGATGAAGCTTTCCTTTGAGCTTCATCATGTTCCTGGGCCAAAAGTGTTTGGAGCTCTTCAGTTGTCAGCTCTTCTTGATATTCTTCAATGAGATCCTCCACCTCCACCTCTCAGGACGTCGGAATGATCTCCTGCATCACTTCTGTATCCTCAGCTGGTTCTTCCTGGGTCCATTCAGGAACAAGCCTCTTTCAGGCTGAATTGAGGGTCATCTGCATGACTTCTTCCCAGGCCTTCCAGATGAGTCTGATTGCCAGGCAAAGTCTTTTCCTCCTTGGTAATGAAGTCCTGTTGGGCATCTTCTTCCAGAAAAGACCAGTTTCGTCAACATTAGAAACTTGTTGCGGGCAGTATCCTTCATTTTTGAGAAATTGTTGAAAATCAAACAGAGAACTTCTCTTCCTTGTCATTACTGCCAGCTTCACCATGCATGGTGATGCTGTGGATTTCACACCTTTTCTTGAATAACTCCCTGCTGAATTTAAACTCCTCTTCTTCATTGCCACTGCTGCTGTTTGTTCCAGAAGTGTTTTTCTTCAACTCATCATAGATGAGTTTGGCTTTGTGACAGATAACTTCTTGAGTAGAGATATCACCTCTCACCTGCTTGTCATTGATCCAAACCATCAACAGCCTTTCCATTTCGTCATGGAGTGAAGACCTACGCTTCACATGGAAGATCTTGGAGACTCCCTTGGCAACTTTGGCTGATTTGACAGAGTCTTTCTTGCTTAAAATGGTGTTAATGGTGGTCTTGCTGAGACCAAACTCTTTGACAAGGTTACACTGTTTTACCCCAGTTTTACTCCTTCTGATGATTTCTTGCTTTGTTTCAATTGAAATCACCTTTCTGCTTTTTTTAGAAGCCATGATGCATTATAAATGACTCAACTAACCAGATAATATGACATGAATAATTCTTTATTAAGATCACTAAACACTTCTACATCCAGCTGGCTCCCTCAAGCTACTCTTGCTCTGTTTGTTTTTCCACACCCTCTCTTTTCATCCCGCCACCTCAGCACCTACATGATTACATTTCGTTTATTTGCATATTACACATATATTATACATGATTTGCATAACACTTGAATAAATGTAAATACCCTGCACTGGGATGATGTACGTAATAAACAAGGGAGAAAACCGAATCCCAACAGGAGCTCTGTACTTCAGATATACTAATAATATATTCTAATAATACTAATATATTCTAAAAATAGCAGATTGTCATTGGCAACAACAAAAGAGTGGAAACATCATTCACACTTGTTTGCAGAATGTGCATTGTTCACTTTACATAACTGCTGAATGGAAAGTCCGTTGTTTGCAGCCAGTTCGTTGCTCAAGTCATGTAACGACCAAACAGAAAGTCTGTTATTTGCAGCATCCATTATTCCATGCACCACTGTACTTGTTTTGAAAAACCAATCATCCATTTCTTTACTACAGTAGACTTTCAGTAAATCAATTTTCTTAACTCAAAATTCTTGCTAACTCTAAACTTGCAAAACACACATAATATGATAACTTACTGAGTTATTGGCCAATCAAATTTGAATTTGTCTATGTTTGAGACTAAACATTCATACTATATAAATTTCATTGTAAAGTTTGAATTGCATGTTAACATTTTTATTATGGACAGCAACCAGTTATTAAGTGTAATGACCATTTTCATTCCAAAATATATAGAAATGACAAAAAAAATAAAAAGCTAAAGATCTTGTACTATAGCAGAAAATGTATCTGTCACATAAACCATGGAGAGAGAAAAAAGAAAAATCTGAAATTGCAAAAGAATTTGACATTTCATCGAATACTCTTTCTACACGTCTGAAAAACAAGAAAAGGATTTTGGAAATCTTTAATTGACAACAAAATCAGACATAACAAAAAGTGAGTGTAAATGTGATTATTGAGATGCAGAAAAGTGTATGTTATACAGTGTAGATACAAGACTATTCCTGCCTGTGGAAAACTTCTTGAAAAAAGCTGAGCAATTCAGAAAACAGTTGGGATATACCAGATATAAAGCAAGTAGTATATAAATTTAAGAGACATGGAATTATTTTCAGTAAAATCTGTGATGAAAGAGGAGAAGTGAGAAAGGAATATTGCATGAAGTATTGAAGTAAGTGAAAAGTTTACCAGAAATTGTTCAGGACCAGATGAGGTATGCAATGCAGATGAAATGGCTAATTTTTTAAATATCTGCCAGACAAAACAATGGTATTCAAAGTGATTCATGTCATGAACTTTTTACCTCCATCTGCAAAGAACATATAACTCTTTTTGGAAGAGGGTATGATAGATAATGAAAAATTATCATTATTATTAATTAGAAAGTCTTTAAAACCTTGATGTTTTCACAATGCCACAACATTATCCATGCAATTTGAAGCAAATAAGAAAGCATGCATAACATCAGAACTTTTTCTAACTGGCTGAAAAAGTTAGGTAACTGAATGATTACTGAAAACAGAAAATTACTCTCTTTATTGACAATTGCATTGCAAATTTGATTATTCCCATTCTGAAAACTGTAACAGTTTAATTTCTGCCACAAAATAACTTCTGGATTACAACCGTTAGATCAAGAAATCGTTCAAATCTTTAAATTACAATACAGAAAGCTTACTGTATTTAAGATGCTGCATGTATCTAAAGATGGGTCACATGAGTTTGGAGTGAATCTGTTGGATGCAGTACAAATGATTAACAAAGCTTGAAATGAAGTTCTGCAAAGCATCAGTGCAAACTGATTTATAAAAGCAGATTTTAATCAGCAATTTTTTGACACTTCAAATAAATTGGAATTTCCATCAATTACATAAACTACATTGAAAATCCTTTTTAAAAATTGAAATATTTTTTAAAAGTTAAATTAAAAAACACTTATGAAAAGATCTTTTCTTTTCTTCCTATGACTAAAATAATTGTACTTTTTTGTTTCTCTCTCTTGTACACTGAGGAGGCCTAGGCTTTGTTATCTAGACAAAATGCATCTGAAAGTGGAAAATTTAGATGTAACAATAAAAAATTTCTCTATTGATATTGTGTTGCAAATTTTAATTGAATCAACTCAAAATCAGCATAGGAAGGAAAGGAAAGTTCTTTATGGAAGTGTTTTTGATTTAATTTTTTAAAAAAATATTTCAATTTTTAAAAAAGACTAAAAAAGCCAATCCCATTGTTATTTTTTAACTTCTAATTTTTTGATACCTTAAAGATGACTGGGCCAACTTGTTACAGCAATGAATGATGAAAAAGTGGCATTCAAACATTTTTGTCAATAATCTAGCTGTCTGCAGACATTTATCTCAAGATGTCATTGTTGAAGCAAACAATCAAGCACAATAAAACAAGCAATGAAGATGAGGAAGAAAGAATCCTGTCAAAAACAGATATCATGCTCTCCTACATGTAGAGAAGCCAGAAAAGCTCAAGCTTTTAAAGGGCTTTCCAGAAACATAATCATTCACAAAACAATACTTTCAAAGTGATTGACTACATCAAAAGCATTGTTGAGCAAGAAGCAATGATTTGTTCATGACAAACTCGTTATTGTTGATGGTATGTGTAACAGCCATTTTTCATTAATAGTGACAATGTTTTGTTATTTCATAATTAATATTCATCTAAAAAATAATAAAATATAATGTATGTAAGTGTAACTACATTATTTGTATTATGATATTTATGATCTCATTACAATAATAATAGTTTCTGTAACTTAAAATTTCATTAATGTGAAAAATTTTTCTGTCCTTCTACTTTGAGTTATTGGAAATATATTGTAATAACTCTAATAATATAGTGAGGCATTGAAAATCTAGACATTCAAAATCTGAATTTGGCCATTAAAAATGGATATTTCAATGAAAATTTGGTTGGTGGTGTTCTTTCAGCCTTGCATTGTTCAAATATTGATGTTCTAACATTTATTCAGAATCCATAATTTTTTAAGTTTGAAATTATTAGTGTAAATTTTGCTTAAATATAGGAATTCTGTAAATTAGATTTTAAATTTTTGTAAGTATTCCTACATTCCTTTTAGTACACCTAAACTTGAATTACAGTACTTAAAA